GTCCACCCGCCCCTACCCCACCCCACCCCACCGGGGAGAGCTAAAATAGCCAGGAGTCACGGCGCCCTGGCTGAGGTAGGGTCTGTTCCTTGTCCCTAATGAGACATGTGCTCAGAGAACTGGCTCTTCATTCGGGGCACAGCAAGTCTGCAGTGTACTGGAGGCCACACCAGAGTGTATGACAGACCCACACTCAACCCAGGGATTCTCTCGAGCCAGAGCGTGAGGCACAACAGATGGCAGGGCAAAGACCTAAGTAAATGAAGACCCATTCGTATGATGTGCAAAAAGAGATGGGAGCAAGGGGGAGGCGAGAGGCCAGACAGGGAAGGGAGCCGGCAAGGGTGAGAAGAGCCACCCTCCAGACCCCGGTGGTTCACCACGGCACAGCACGGCACGGGGCAGAGCTGCTGTGGCCTGTGGCCCTGGGCACTTTGGCTTACTACTTAGGACTGTATTAGTATTCGGCACCTCCTATGTGTACCGTAGGGTTATCAGGACAGACAGGTCTCTGTCCTCCGCCCCAGTGGAGCCACAGCAAGCTGAGGAGCCATCACTCCGTGCCTGCAGTCCTCACAGGTCCTCCTAAGGTTAGGGCTTGGTGGAACCCCACGGCACTCCTGGGGTGGGCACCAGCCCTCCTCCCTACCCAGTTGGGGGCAGAGTGACACCCTACAGCCTCCTCCCTTCTGAAACGGCCTCAGGAAGACAGCTCCCCGGAGCCAGGAGGAGGGGAGCCCCCGCTAACACTGGCAACGGAGTAGGGTACGCTGGTCTGGTCTGGAGACAGCACCACCGCTCTCCCCGTGTCTGCTTAGGGCCCTTGTGAAACGGGCACCGGCTGAAGGACTGAGAATGGAGGCAGGATTCTCCTGGCTACTATTCATCTCCTCCAGGTGACAAAGGGAAATCCCAGCGCAGAACGGGGCTGGAGGGCACTCGGAGGGGCTGTTTGCCTTCTGGATTCAGAGGTGACGTCAAAGACACCACGAGCACATAGAGCCGTGTGGGATGACTTCCGGAAAAAAACACAACTCAGCATCCAACTTCCCCATGTGAGTGTGTGCACCAGCAGCTCCACTCACTCAGTCCCGTGGGGCTGGCCTGGGGCACACCGTGAGAACCACAGCTCCAGCCCAGGCTCCCCGAACCTGGTCCTTCTGTTCTCAATGGGAGGGGGCCTGCGATGGCGCACACACACACACACACACACACACTTGAATGACAACTGGAGTCCCTGGTCATTAGCTTCCCTCTGAGCTAACCAGGCTCCCTAACCTCTTATTATGGGTATCACTGTCCAACCCTTTAATCATTACTATTTTTTTTTGTTTTGAGGTTCTTTGTTGCGGCTTCTCCAAGTTTCTTTCGGTTGTGGAGCCATGAATTTGACCCAGAGCCTGAGTCAGAGACTGGCTGGGGTTGACTACAAAGAGAAGCACGAGTCAGATTCACACAACAGACTCACATTTATTGATCTCTAACACCCGGGCTTGCCTTATTAGCGACTCCTGAGTCAGGTTCTGCCGGGCTTGCCTTATTAGCAACTCCTGAGTCAGGTTCTGCCGCACTGCTTAGGAGAGCTTCAGGACGCCTCTCCTGGAAGCCTGAGGCTCTGCTCCAAGCACACTGACCAGCTGACTCAGTACCCCACCCCAGGTCAACTGCAAATCAGTTTAGGAGGGCAGTGAGAACCTGGGACTCGGGTTCAGATTTCCCCGAGGATCCTTTCCACGGAGAGGGAGAGAGAGATGCTCTTCGCAGGGGTCAGGTTTGCATCAAGTCCATCCACCGCCACAGGACACAGCCACTGAGTCTTCTGACGAAGGCGAGCGGGCTGGAGCAGAGGGCTTGGGGGTCAGCCTTCCCACCTCTCCCCACACCTCCCCTGCTGCTGCAAGGGAAGCCATCAGCTCCCCAGGGCCCGAGGGAGCTCACGCCGAAGACCCTCAGCCAGCCCCTCCATCCTGTCCCCCTCCCTCGTCTTCCTCTCTTCTTTCTCCTGCTGCTTTATGCACTGGGTGTCACGGCCCAGTTTCTGTGAACCGCCGAATGTGTGAGCACGTGGGTTTGTGCAGAATGGGAACTGTGCCCTCTTTGTGCATTGTGTGTGCTCCGGGCGTGATTAATACACGCTCACCAGCCGCGGCAGTCCCCGTATTTTCCAGAGAAATCGGCGTTCCTGCAGAGTCAGATCCCAATACCGCACACGCGCACACAGGCGGGCAAAGCTGATGGGGTTCACGCTTCCTTCCCTTGCAGGCAGAGCTGTTGAAACTCGGCATTTTATTCACAGAGCCTCTTCCTAAGCAACGCCCGCTTGAAAGAGAACATCCTAGGAGGTGATCAGTGAGCATTTCGGCTCCAAATCAGAAAGGTAACCTGTTGCATCAGGGAGTTCCTACTGAAAGCCCAGTGTTGGGGGTGGGTACACTGCAGGGGCTAAGCTGCTGCTTGGGATCCCGACCCCATTTCGGAATGCCTGGGTTTCAGCCTTGCTCCCAAGGCCAGCTTCCTGCTAATGCCCAGCCTGGCAGGCTCAAGTGAGTCGGTTGCTGCCACTCACACTGGAGACCTGAACTGATCCCTGCTTCGTGGCTTTGGCCTGGCCCAGCTCTGGCTACTGCAGACATGTGGGCAGTGAACTAGTGCGCTCTCTCTCTCTCTCTCCTCTCTCTCAGCTCTGGCTACTGCAGACATGTGGGCAGTGAACTAGTGATCTCTCTCTCTCTCTCTCCTCTCTCCTCTCTCTGCCTTCCAAATTAAAACACCACCACCACCAAAAACAAACTCTTGTGAGCTGGTTAAAATGCCTGCCTCCTAGGACGTGGGTCCAGTGCCTGTCGACGCCCGTTTCTGCCTCCTGACCTCAGCTCCTGGCAGTTGAGGAGCGGACAGGCAGGTGGGAGCTCGGTCTACCTCTCTGTTAGATAAACAAAGAGAACACAACAAACAGAAAAACCTCGCGTGGATACAGAAGGACCAGGGGAAAGATTTCTCTGCTTCTCTGAGCAGAAAGCCAGTAAAATAAACCTCTGCCACCAGTGGCCATTCCATCAGGACCTCTTGGCTTGTGTTTCAGCAGCAGGGGGACTAGGACGAGAGGGCAGCGGCCAATGGGCGCCGCTCTGCAGGAATCGGAGGCCACGGCGGCTGCGGGGTGGGGGCAGGTGCCCAGCACAGGCTCCTGGGCTCTTTCCACAGGTCCCAAAGCTGCGCGTGTCTCTCGGCACCTGGACCCCACTGTGTGACCACTGGGGTTGCGCTCACTGTGATGTGTCTCACCCAAGGTCACGGCCAGTTGGCAGAGAGCCTGTGCGCTGAGGGAGCTGCAGCCAGTGTCACCTCACCAGGCACCCGGGAGGGGACGCAGAGGGAGGGAGGCAGGCACACACCAGCACCCGCAGGATCCCGACCGGGCCCACGTGGTTGGGCTAGCTCCTCTTTCATTCCCTTGGATCTGTCTCTCTCACAGCACATAAATCAGTAAAACCAACACTCTAGGCGTGTTTACAAGCATTTTAGCAACTCATCCTTAAAATGCATGCTTCCAAGTAGCAGCAAAACCTACGCAAACTCCTGTTTAAATTAAACAACAAAAAAACAGGATCAATGCTAATCCACTTCTTATTTGCAAGACTGAAAAATTGACAATTGATGAATTCGCTGGAAAACCAATGTACAATGACCTACTTCTCCTACAAGAAGCACTCCACTGGGATTCTCAACAATTAAAACAGCAAGCACGCCGGCGTCTTGGGCAGAAGAATGTGTCACGAAGCACACTCTGCAACAAGAACTCTTTCACAGCTGAGGACAGTGTCAGAGGCTTGTTTCTGCCGTGATTTTAAATTGATCTGGACTGCAAATTTCTGCGCCACAAAAAAAAAAAAAAAAAGTTCTACGAAAAGCTTCTTTCTAAAAATAGCCGAAGAACTCAATCCTGTTTTCCTTTCTTACATTCTTTTCCTACTGAGCCCACCACTGAAACGTTTCCTTTCATTGTTGCTATCTTATGTCAGTGCAGTTAAAATCCGACAACACCGAACAACAAAGAAGTCTTTAAATAAAGCTGTTCAAATAGGAGAAGGGCACTCGCAGTGCCTAGGGGGAGGGGCTGTCTGGGGACAGCGCCCACCCTGCCTGCTAGGACCCTCTCACCAAGATCAGCGTCCCAGGGCTCAGCTCGTCGGCACTTGAGTGCTGGAGAAACTCCTGCCTGGCTCTGTGTCACAAGCAAGGTGTCTGCACGCAGTCGTTAAAACACGCTTCGGACACTCACACGTAACTGTGTTCAATGTTCTGTGGCCCAGATGTCGGGTGAAGAAGAGTTAAAATCAGGGAGTTTCAGGGCCTGTGGCTAATTGTGGTAACTCGATTTTCCAGGGGCTGCTTTAAATCACCCTCTAAAACTCCCGTCTCAATTCAAGCACTTCTCTCCAGGAGTATGTGGGTCGATTCTTAAGCAGAAACTTGTCCTTGAAGAACTGAACGCCGTGCATCCACACCTGCAACACCACTGCGTCTGACACTCCCGTTACTTCTGCAGCATAAACCTGAAGGGCCGCGCAGTGGCGAGGGAGTCCACTTTGAACATTTCCCCTCAAGGGCAGGTTACCATAGAAAAAGAAAGCTCAATGGGACAAGGCACCGTAGCTGTATTTACAGGACTCTATGCTAATAATCAAATACTTTGACAGGTGAAATCAGTAACAACCTGCAGGCGGCTTTTGCAAAAAATAAAACTAAGAATCAGACACTGTCTTTCCCTGAGAAAACCGAGTAAGACAGGTTTCTTGCAGTAGCATACGTTTGAGGAGGAAAGCTTTGGCTCTCATTCCTACATTTCTCTGAAGTACCAACCCCAGAGACTCCAAATTTTCCCAAGAGCTTAAAAAAAAAAAAAAAAAAAAAAAGAGAGACTATGATAGGAACATTCAGAAGATTTCCGGAGCAAAGAACAAAGGCAGGTCTTCAGAACTCCCCCCGGGGTTACTTACAAGCAGCCTCAGAGGGAATGCGAGCCAGGGTGCTTCAGAAGTGCTCTGCCGATCACAAACACTCGGGACGTCTAAAACAGATACCCTATCGCACGAGGCCGCGAAGGCACGGGCCAGCCTACTCACTTCCACTTGGGTAAACACTTCTACAACTCAGAGAGCGAACCCTGGCTAAACCGAACGGCAGCCGAGCAGCAGGCAGGAACACGCCGATTTGAATCATGTGTGCCGGGATTTATTCACCAGGACAACATCAGTGTCCTCTTAATGGGAAATGTGGCCAAGGGGCGGGCCCTGGCGAACAATACGGGGCATCGTGGTTATGCTAATTATTGAACCCGGTCCAATAATGCTAACTTCTTTCAAGTTTTTTTTTTTTTTTTTTGCAAGTACTGACAAAAAGAGTAAGAGCTTTCACTTGATTTCTTCAGAGCGCATTCGAATACGGACAAAGCTTTGGCAACAAGGTGGCAGTGCTGCGTGCCTTTCACAAGGGGAAGCAGAGCCGGCCGTCCAGGGCCATGCCGTATCAGCTGCGATCTATGTGGCATTCAAACGGCCTGGGGCACACAGGCACCTCAGTCGGTGGTGGGGACCCTGAAAGTCATGAACTGATGCTGGCCCCTTCCTTCCTGAGTCCCCAGGAGCTGCGGTGAGGACACAGGTTCAGTCGTAAATCACTGAGAACAAACAGCTCACGCGCTTGCACAGGGCGACTGTCCCTGGCAAGGAGCCTCTGGAGGTGCACTGAGCCGCGTGGCTGGCTGCATCTGGAGGGGACTGTCCTCCACGGGCGGCTGGCCACCGCCACGGCACCCTGAAGCCCGGGAGACCCAGATCACGGGACCTGCTTTGTAAGCGCAGCGGTGGCGTCCGCTCTCGAAGGTGCAGCCGGGTTTGCTTTCAACAGCTCTGCTGATGACGGATCTGGCTCTTACAGGCTGCTTTACGAATGCTATCAGAGCAGTTGACAAATGTCAGTCAAATCTCCAGGCATCGCTGGGACACGTCGATCCCCAACCACCCCCCCCTCGCTGTTAACAGGCACAGGGCTGCTCAACAACTTGGTCACCACCAGGTCATTCCGGGCCCCTCCGAAGCCCTCTGTAGCACGTCGTCCGTGTTCACCACTCAGCTGTACTCTTAGGTCTCTTCAGAGACGTTTGCTTTCCTGACTCAACCATGCAACGAGAGTTTAGACCTCAGGAGATTGACTCTACTTAACTCCCCAAATCCCAGGGAATCTGAGCTCCAGGGGCTTAAGCAGCGCCCCCAGGGAGGGCGCTGGGACTCAGCAGGCTGAGTGCCTGCCTGGCTGGAGCCCTGGCTACTCCATGCTTCCGCTCCAGCTTCCTGCGAATGCACCCAGGAGGCAGTGGGAGACAGCCCAGGCGCTTGGGACCCCGTGCCCCATGTGGGACACCTGGACGGAGTTCCTGGCTCCTGGCTTCGGACAGGCCTAGACCCAGCTGATGGGGGCATTTGGGGAGTGAACCAGGGGAGAGAAGATTCCCCCCCCCCCCCATTGCCCTGGCCCTATTACTCTGCCTTTGAAATAAATAAATGAATAACTTATTTTAAGAAGGTATCCTGCCACACATGTCTTTAAACACAATGGTCCGGCTGGCTCATGCAAGCCTAAAGCAGCAAGCAGGTTGATTTTCACTGTCATGAGCTGGTACTACCAGTAAAGTCCCTCTCCTGTTCTGTCCAAACACAGCTGGCTGCTAGCCTGGGAGTCCACCCCTGCTGCCTGACCTTGGGCGCCGTGGCCAGCCCTTGCTCCAGCTCTCCAAGATGGCATGCACCATCTCCCGGACCCAAAGCGCTAGATGAGGGCATTTTCCATCCCATGCCGAGAGGACGGGCGTTAGTGCTAACCCAAGATGGCTGACATCTGACTAACAGCATTATTCCCAGCACTCCACAGCAAACTCATTCTGGAATTCTCGATGCCAAAAGGGGAGAGTGGGAGGCTATTTTTGGCACAATTATTCTTATCCTGTTATGTCATGGTTTTGAAAAGTTGGGTAAGCCAAAACATTATTCCCGTCCTAATCCAGACAGGATCAGAAAGTAGATATGTGAGGTCCACGTTGGCGCTGGATTCTGCACTGGAGAAGCAGGAGCTGACATGTGAAGGGTTCCACATCCAGCACCCGGAAGGCGGGGGACCCGAGCGATTTTCCCACTCCTCCTATGTCACACACGCGCAGCACAGGTCTGCTGCCGCTCCGAGCAGCGGCCACACGTGTTCCAGAACATGCCAAAGAACAGAGTACCCTGAAGGTCACGAGTCACTCTACTGCTTCCTTCTCGCTAGCGAACATTACTTGAGTCAAAGCAAACTTCTGTGCCAGACAGCAGAGGACCATCTCAAAGGGAGGTCATTTCTTCCCCTTGGTTCGCGTGGATGTTGGGTGGTAGGGAGGAGAGACAGGCAGCAGGGTCTGTGGGTTGATGACATTCTGAATACTGGGGCCGGTGCTGTGGCATAGTGGGTAAAGCTGTTGCCTGCAGTGCCGGTTCGAGTCCAGGCTACTCCACTTCTTCTTCTTCTTCTTCTTTTTTTTTAAATTTATTTATTTGAAAGGCAGAGTTACATAGAGGCAGAGGCACAAAGAGAGAGAGACAGAGAGAAGGCGGGGGGAGCTGGTCTTCCATCTGCTGGTTCACTCCACAATTGGCAGCAACGGCTGGAGCTGTGCTGATCCGAAGCCAGAAGCCAGGAGTTTCTTCCAGATCTCTCATGGGGGTGCAGGGGCCCAAGGGCTTGGGCCATCTTCCACTGCTTTCCCCAGGCCATAGCAGAGAGCTGGATCAAAAGTGGAGCAGCCAGGACTTGAACTGGCACCCATATAGGATGCCAGTACTACAAGCGGCAGCTTTGCCTGCTATGCCAAAGCGCCAGCTCCTGGCTGCTCCACTTCTGATCCAGCTCTCTGCTGTGGCCTGGGATAGCAGAAGATGGCCCAAGTCCTTGGGCCCCTGCACCTGCGTGGGAGACTGGAAGGAAGCTCCTGGATCCTGGCTTTGGATCAGCACATTTCCAGCTGTTGCAGCCAACTGGGGAGTGAACCAGTGGATGGAAGACCTCTGCCTCTCTGCGTGTCTCTCTCTGCCTCTCCTTCTCTAACTCTGCCTTTCAAATAAATAAATAAATATTTAAAAAAAAATAAACAATAGGGGGCTGGTGCCATGGCACAGTAGGTTAATCCTCCACCTGCAGCACTGGCATCCCATATGGATGCTGGTTCTAGGCCCGGCTGCCCCTCTTCAAATCCAGCTCTCTGCTATGGCCTGAGAAAGCAGTAGAAGATGGCCCAAGTCCTTGGGTCCCTGCACCTGTGTGGGAGGCTGGGAAGAAGCAGCTGGCTCCTGGCTTTGGATCGGCATAGCTCTGGCCGTTGCGGCCATCTGGGGAGTGAACCTGTGGATGGAAGACCTCTCTCTCTGTCTCTCCCTCTCACTGTCTGTAACTCTACCTCTTAAATAAATAAATAAAATCTTAAAAAAAATAGACATGCTGAATACCAGAACACTTCAGAAGGTTTGTGGAAAGCGGATTTAAGAGATAAGCTTATTTGGGTGCAAAACACAACAACAACAACAAAACCACTGAGGTCTTTGCCGAGTTTGTTCATAACACACGTTTTCCATGAACTGCGTGAAGACCCTGCCTATGTGTGGATTTCAAAAAAAATTTCTTTGGAAAAATAAACTTAGCTTTGCGTTCCGTTTCTGTGAACTTTCGGAAGAACACTCGTGCATCTCAGTGGGGGAAAGATGTTTTCTGTGGCAAGGCATATGGTGCCGAAGGAGCCGCTGAGGATATTAATAGGGTGGTGAGTACACAGGAGGGCTGCGCTAAAATAGAAGCAGCTTCCCTGTTTTAAGCAGGGTGGCACAGCACCGAAAAGCACAAAACTCATCTCCCGGCTGCGTTCCGGAACGTGAGGGTGAAAGCTGTCAGTGAGGGTGTTCCTCAGTGCTCAGGCGCTTGGGCTGAGAAGAGTTAGAACCTGGCTGCTGGGCAAGGAAGGACTCGGTGAGGGACAACTTCCCCAGGAGGAGGGCAGGAGGGCAGGAGGGGCTCGTAACAGGTGCACAAGGACAACGGGCTGAATGCCTGGAAGTGCCCTTCACCGGCTCATTCATTCAATGCACACGTTAATTAAAACAGTCGGAAGTGGGATGTGAAGACACGTGTATTTTGGTGCAGAAACGTCTCAGTGCACACATGGTTTTTTCAACACATGTCATCTCCGTGAACTTTAAGACTCCACGTGTGCACAGATGTCAAAGTTCTTCTGTACCAACATTCGCTCACCTTTCAATGCCATTTTTATATTAATTTATTTACTTGAAAGGCAGAGTTACACAGAGAGGGAGAGACAGAGAGACAGAGACAGAGAGAGATCTCCCATTTGCTGGTTCACTTCCCAGGTGGCCACAAGAGCAGGAGCTGAGCCAGGCCAAAGCCAGAGGTCTCAAGCTCCATCCAGGTCTTCCATGGGATAGCGGGGGCCTAAATACTTGGGCCATCTTCTGCTGCTTTCTCAGGCAGATTAGCAGGGAGCTGGATGGAAGTGGAGCAGCCCGCACTGCAAGCGGCAGCTGATATAGGAAGCTGGCGTCGAAGGTGGCGCTAAACCAGCTATGCCACAATGCCGGCCCTTTTTAAATTCCATTTTCCATGGACTTCAGAAGCACCCTCATGGAAGTTCTGGGATAATTCAGGATTCTCAATTTTATTTTTAGGATCTTAAAAGAATCATGGATGAGAAGAGGGCATGGTGCAGTGTGGAGTACCTGTTTTGAGTCCCTGCTGCTCTGCTTCTGACCCAGCTCCCTGCTAATTCACCTAGGACACGGATCCCCCATGTCCTGGGGCCCCTGCCACCCAAGTGGGAGACCTGGATGGAGTTCTAGGCTCCTGGTTTCAGCGTAGCCCAGACCCGGCTTTTACAGCCATTTTGGGAGGGAAGATTTCTCTTCCTCTTTGTGTCTCTCCCTCACTCTATAGTTCTGCCTTTCAAATAAGTAAACAAATAAATCTTTTTTAAAAAAATCATGGAGAGATCGAATATTTCAAAATATCTAAAAATTACAACTGGAAAAAGCAGTACAGTTTCCATTCTGAACTTCTTTTTTTAAAAAATATTTATATGAAAGGCAGAGTGACAGAA